GTATACTTTAGTATTTTAGGCGAATATCTATTATTATATATTTTTAATTATCTTAAAACAAGTTTAATGTGTAGTTTGGTGGTGGAGAGCTCATTATTTAGGCTAGAGGTTGTGGGTTTGAGTTTTTACTCTTTTTTGTCTGAAAATCATATTGTTTTATGTCACATCACAAAATCTGATATGGCTATTCCAACGCCACGTGTGCAGACTTAATGAAAAAATAAACGGGATTAAGTATTGTCCTTAATTGTTCTAAATCTTAAAGTACATAAAATAAATTGAACAAAATTAAGGTACATATTGAACAAAACACTACATACAAGGACCTAGCAAGTACTTTGACCAAACAATATTGTCAAAGGTGGTTTGTGGTGGTTTGGACAACATTTCGCTCTTTAATTATGCATTTTTTTAAAAAAAAAAACATAAAATATATAACGGGTCAATGCACTTTGTATTAAAAAGATCAAAATGTTCTTCTATTTAACGAAATTTAATGATTTTGTTAATAGAGGACAAAACATAATTAAGTAATAATAATACTAAGACTAAAAAAAAAATGCTTAGATAAAAAATGAAAGACTAAAAGTAAATTGTCACCTATAAATTTAGGACAAAAATGGAATTAACTCTTAAAAAATAGTTTGCGAAAGTGAAGCATCAATATTCAAGAGGGGTACCCAAAAAAATAAAAAAAATTAAAAAATAAGAGGGGTACGGTGTCTAATAATTTACAAATAAATGCTTGATGTTATTATTTTTTGGAGCCATTTGATTTGGTCAAAGTATCTACATGTCGGTATGATCTGACCGACTGGATTTATAATTATGATTTTAATTAATAGTCAGTTATTTTATTTTATTTTAATGAGAAACTTTATTCGGATAAAAAAAAAGTGTACTTCTATCACTTGGTTTGTCGAGATTACATTTGTTAGTGTGCACAATGTATTATTATTATTCTTATTGAAATAAAAATATCCGTTACAGTTGCTGCTGCCAATGATGCTAGCTAGCTATTTTAGTGGCCTAGTGGGGGAGGCTTAAAAAAAGAAATCAAACAATTCATGAACTGAATGTTGAATCCATAGTAATTAGTGAATTTTTTAATCAATAACAATAATCATGTAAGAAATGAATATATTAGTGCATTAATATTTTAAGTTACAAGTGTTTTAATTTTGGCTAATACTATAATTATTTTTTCTAAATTTATTTGACAGTTATTATATTTTTATTGGAGACTAAAATTGAAATAATCATGCAAATTAGAATATATAACAAGTTTTGTGATTTCGGCCTACTCTAGCTTTGCTTTTCGGGATGATAACGTCTTGATTGCAATGTTATATGACCAAATAGTGATACGTTGGAATGTAAAGAATAGTACGTGAAAGTCAAAAGAGAAAACTCGGGAGAGAAAATACCAGATTAATTTTTCATTAATCACTGCCTTAATTTGTGTACAACTAAATTCTCTGTACATACACTTGAAAATAGGGGAAAGTTGTTTTAATAGGATAATGGCTACTAACTACAATAAATATTCAATTATTTATATCAAAGTTAAGAAACTAAAATAATTATCGACTAGAGGTGACAATTTGTGTTAATACGATAATAACACGAGATGCCCGCATGGGTAGCTCAACTGGTCATTGAGGTGAAACTTTGGAAGAATAATCAGGGATCGAGTCTCATCAGCAACAGTGTGAGATTCACCTCTCAAAGTGAGGGGGCTTTTTGTTGTGCGCAGTGAGCCTCGGTCGAGGGGCCCCCCTTAGAGTTGGAGTTCTTCCAAAACACGAGACCTATTAAAGTTAATATTTAAGAGCATAATCTGTAAAGTTTAAAGGGTAAAGATTTTAGAACATGGACACGAACGTGATATTTAAACTAGTTAAATATATAAGTAAACATGATAAACATTACATTTTAGTAGCAGGTTTAGGTTTGACATGATAGGGTAATAGTAACTTAATTAAAATCACTATTTTTTTTTTTTTTTTGAAAAACCAAACAACTTCATTCATCAAAGGAAATCAGAAATACAACTGGGTGGGTGGAATAATGTCCCACACCCCAAGGACAAAGGATGAAACAGCCGCCCGCGCAAGGACGTGAGCAACATGGTTCACTGACCTTCTAACATGGTTAACGAGAACGTCACCTATGTCAGTAGCAATAACATGTCATTGCTTGATAATTAGCCCTACATACGAAAAGTTCCGAGATAAAGAATTATAATTGGAGATGAAATTCAAGCAATCTGACTCCACAGTAACATGTGACACATTGCGACTCTTCAACCATGTAAGTGCCTCTTTCACAGCCATTGTCTCGAAAACATACGGATCGCAAATACAGTGTAACAGTCCACCATAAGCACTCACAAAATTACCTGCATGGTCTCGAAGCGCTTGCCCCCAACCCCAGTCCATCTTCCATAACTATAGCATCCACATTGCACTTTAACCTCCCAGGCGATGGTGGTATCCATGGAGCACTAACAGGAGGTTGATGAACATTAGCAGTAACAGTAACTTATGTCTGCTACCATAGCGCCACTAAGCTGTTAACATGACAATTAATCATATTTATAGTCTATTTTGTCGAGTTCCACAGCGCATCATTACGTACCTTCCAAAGACTCCAAAATATTGCTGCCATTCGTAATTCTTGCTCGATATCATGCCAACCGAATATATCTTCTACAAACATAACCAAGGATCTGCCATTCGCTACATTATTACAATCCCAAACCTAAGAAGCTATCACAAAATAAATGAAGTTGAGTCTCTTCATCTGAAGCACAAAGCAGACATCCACCCCCAGCATAAACACGCTTGAGTTGAAGATTAGCACGTACAGGAAGTACGTTGCGCATGCAACGCCAAAGAAATTTTTTAATATGAGGAGGTACCTTCAGGCTCCATAATCGGTTCCACAATGAGAATTCAATGGGAGTCTGATTATCAAGAGCAGTGAAGGTGAGGATTTGATAACCATGTCTAACCTTGTATACACCTTTCATGTCTCCTCTCCAACACCAGGAGTCAGCGTGAGCAGGTGATATGAGAGTACGTAAGATAGGTTCAACATCATTGTCCAGGAAAATGTCGTGTAATAGATCTTCATCCCAACAACCGTCACTAGTAAGCAGATTACTAACCTTAGCATCCTTCAATTCCTCCACACACATTGTGTTTAAACTCAGATTATCAACAGCTGCAAGCCAAGGCCAGCCCCACACAAGTGTACCCTCACCGTTCCCCACCCTGCGTAACATCCCTTTCCGAAGTAAATCTTGGCTTGCAAGAATACTTCTCCATATAAAACTGGGGTTGTGACCTATGGTAGCCTCCAGAAAACTCGTACGTGGGAAGTATCTGGCCTTCATAATCTGGCTCACCAGAGAGGTTAGATTAGTAAGCAATCTCCAGCCTTGCTTAGCTAACAAGACTATATTAAAGTCACGTAATCGTTTAAACCCCATTCCCCCTTTGGATTTCGGTTTAGCTAGTCTGGACCAGCATAGCCAATGAATGCCCTTATTCTGATTAGAAAAACTGGTCCACCAAAATCGATTATACATTTTTTCAATAGCATCACACATTGAAGTAGGCAGTAAGAAAACCGACTTAGTAAATATTGGCATTGCTTGTGCAATGCTCTTTAGCAAGACTTCCTTTCCAGCCCTAGATAAAAAAAATTTGTTCCAAGACTGTATGCGATCCCTCACCCTCTGTCCAATGTATTGAAATACTGTTGTTTTATTCTTGCCAAGAAAGGAGGGTAAAACAAGGTACATACAAAAATCATCAGTCTGTCACACCCCAAGAATTGTCGATAGATTAGCCTTAATGGCTGATGATGTGCTAGCGCTAAATGTCATATTGGATTTGTCAAAATTTACTTGCTGACCGGAAAAAAAGAAGGCTGTCATCCGTAAAGAATAAATGCGAAACCGCCGGTGCCCCTCTTGCCAACCTAATTCCATGTATATTCCCCATAGCCTCCTTATGACAATCCAAATTTAATTTTAGAAATTCGCTTTTAAGAAAATCCAAATTAGCCATTTTTCACTCTATAAAATTTTTGCGATAAAATCGGTGTTTGAATAAATTATTTTGAGCCACTTTTAAATAACCTCAACACTGGAACTTATTTTAAATCTAAAATCCTAAATTTTTGGTACATCGCGTACCAAGATTTTGATCCAAAGTCAATTTGAGTGAAACCGGGAGAAATCTGAGGAACCTAAACTAAGTGCTTGTCTAGAAAGTATTTTTGGAAAATGCATTTTGACCCCCCAAACTATTCTAGGTTTTCATCCAGCATTTTGACCTACCTAGCAGCTTAGCAAGAAACCAAAGGAAAACATAGTAAGTGTTCCTAGGCCAATCTCATCCATTCTTTTTCCTTTAAGGTTTTCATCCTCCTTTGCTTCAATCTCTGAGTTTGGTTAGGTTTGGCTTGCGTTGTTGTTAGTGGCGTCTAGATGGTGTTTGGATTAGTGTTGAGTAGAATGGAGGCTGAGGTTCACACAAGGAAGAAGAACAAGAAGAAGATGCAACAAGAGGTATAACCTCCACTAGTACAAAAAACATCAATAAAATCGAATAATTCGCGTCCAAAGTTTGAACTTTGGACGCCTAAAGTGTAGTGCGGTGGCATTTCTGTAATTAAAATGCACTATATAATTTGTTTTTTTATTTTTTTTGAAATTAAAAAGAATAGGCGTCCAGAGTTATAGAACTTTGGACGCCAGTTGTCGCGGATTGTTTTTTAAAAAATAATCCGCGTCCAAAGTTGTATCACTTTGGACGCGTTCAATCTTTTAAAAAAAATTAAATTAAATATTAAGAACTTACCAGTTTCTCACTCCTCTCTTCTCTCTAATCTTCACGCCTCTATGATCTTCTCTCAAAATGCTCTCACCTCTCTCTAAAAAACCTAGACGTCGGAATTTACATTTCACTAGATCGCACCGCCGGCAAGGTCTCCGATCGCCGGTTTGTTGGAGCCTGGAAGATCAGGAGGGTCCGGCGGGGCTTCGGCCCCACCTGATGTCTACAGATGATGGTCCGATGATCACAGAATCATTGGAGACGGAAATTGCACCCCGGAAATCGCAGGGCGATCGAGGTGCGATCTCGGAATCGCGTAGGTTGGAGGACGCAGCAGTTGCGAAGCAGATGAAAGATGGGCATGTTGAGTCGATTCACTATGTTAGAACACACCACCAAACAACTACTGGAAAGATCAAAGCAGAATTTGGAGCTACGGGAAATTCTCAGAAAATCCCGAACCCTAGCTCTAAGGTGAAAATGATGTCAGTCCATTCTAATACTTATATTGTTTGAAACTTTATCCTTTTTTTCTTTTTACCCTTTTTCGCTAATTAGACATTCTGGAACGAGGTATTTGGAATCATTATGTTGGCTGTAGATTCATCTTTTAAATCTCCAGGATGAAGAAGACAGTGAAGTTGAAGAGGAGAAAATTTCTCGCAATTGGAGTGTTCTGAAAAGTAATCCTGAGCTTCGCAAGACAAAGGTGATTTATTTATTTGGTCATATATTTTTTTAGCCCCCTTTCTGGGTAGACATTTCACTATTTGTGGCACCATTTTCATCCTCGTAAACCAGATAATCTTCATCTTTGGATGTTTTGTGGAGTGGAAACTATTATATGTCTAGAAATTTCTAGTCTATAGGAAAGATATCAAAATAGTGATAATCAAAGTAGAAAGAACACGGAATGGTAGCACTTGTTCTAGTAGAAAATTATAAACCGAGTAAATGCATTAGTGATGCACTTGGAGATGAGCCTTCATGAAAGTTTTGATTGGTTGTCCTAATAATGTTATCTTTTCTGAGATTATTATGGGAGATGATAAGATCTAGGCTAGCATTGTCTATGAATGTTTATGCGTTGAAGGCTATTGTAGCATGCATTTCTTCCTTATCATCATTGCAGCCTAAACCGAAAAAGGAAAACGTGTCTTTGGAAGAAGCTGTACATGATTCTGAAAACTTAACAGACTTCCTCATGGACTTTGAAGGCGATGAGTAGTAACTCTATGCACCTCATGGTCGATGAGTACTGCAAGTCATTATTAGGCAATTTTATCAATCTTACTTCAACACTGTCCTACATGGATTGGTTTAGGGGTTTAAGAAAAAAGCTATGTTAACTTATGCTGGAATAGTTAGTATCTGCTGCTAAACTTGTTCAGTAGTTGTATGCCCTTAGTCTTTTTCCCCATAAGTCTTATTTTCACTTTTCATTTTATGGAATAAAGGAGATTGTAAGAGTATGAGTAATTGTGGCACTAGGTGTAATATGATATTTGACGGTTAAAAATTACTCTCGCTAAAGGTTTATGATTTAGTGACGAAATTTTAGTTTTATACTTCTTTTAAAAATGTACTCTCACTATTAGTATGAAAGACACTATTACTCTCACGAGTCACGCCCTCTGGTGGTCCGGCCCTGCCCTCGCCAGTCGCTCCTCAGTCCTCACATCCACGTCTCCATTCTTGCCTCTCGGCTTCTGCTTCTCTCGCTCCTCTCCCTGTCTCCCTCACACTCTCCGGCAGACGCCCTCACCTAACCTCAGGTAATACGTTATTTTTAGTTTTTTTTTTCTTTTAATTTTTATACTCTTAATATGTTATTAAGTGTTTAATTAAGTAGGTAAATTTTTATACTGTTAATAAATCAATAAATTAGTGATTAGACTTATTTAGTGCATGCTTCTTTCAAGAATCTAGTTCAATTTTATTTTATTTTTTGAAAACTAGTTACAGTTTTAATTAGTCATAGTAGCAGTTGTTTACTCCAGACTATGTATCTTTTTTTGTTAACTTGGCATAATGTGATTTGATATTATGATGAACATCAAATTGTCATCTGTTCAATGTACTTCGTTGGTGCTAGTATGTTCAGGATTTTGTCTACATATTTTGGTATACCAGTAAGTATTTAAGTGTTTAATTAAGTGTTGTAGTAATAATACTAATAATTTTATTATATTATCTCGTTTGATATTTTGATAGGTTTGAATGAATTGAAGCTTGGAACTTGAAGCAGGCAGTAGGCAGGGTGCTTATTGTTTGTCACTTTATTGGCACTTGAAGCAGGGGCAATGAAGCAGGCAACAGGCAGCAGGCAGTGTGCTTATTCCTTGTCTATCTTCTGTTACATCCTATTGGGGCATTATTGTAGTCAATTATGCTTTAAATAGTTAAATGGCTATGAGGCAAGCATATATATGCCACTTTAGCATTTTGCAGCGACTGAAGAGAAGTAGGGTTCCAAGATGGATGTGGAGTTCACGTTTATGTTGGACAAGCCTCAAGTGGATGATTAGCTACACATAGAACTTGTTAACACCTCAATGAGAATAGATTTACTGCATCTTAAGGTAGTTGGTTATATGTTCTTTGTGTTCTTTTTGAAGTAAAGGAATATAATATTTTAGTTTTTATTGACTAAATTCTGATCCTAATGACTTAGACAAGCTAGACTAAAGGAATATTTGGTGCTTGGAAATTGCTAACAGTTTATAAACTATGAAATACTAGGTAGAATTTGTGGATAGGTTGATGGTTTTATGCTTGAAGCCTTGAAACATTGGCATTACTGCATTAGCTCAAACACCAAATATATTTTACGTATCTATTTATCAGTTGCATTGTGCAAACCATTGCTTTGGCTAACTTTCAGGTGTTATGTCTATGTTTCCCATTTTGATCAAATATGGATATTTCATATTAACTTACCTTGGATGGCATAGATTTTATGAATTTCTGACCTTTAATGTCAGGAGGTACTCTTGGTCGAAGCTCTAAAAAACCTAAATACAAAATTGAATTTCATCCCGAAGACTCACATTTTTTCCCTGTAAGTTCTATCAGCTTGGATGTAGTAGATTCCATTTTTTTTTCCTCTAAAAATTATGATCTTTTAGATTATGGAGAAATACAACCTTCCCATGATAGCATTTTTAAGAAAACTATATTATTGTGTCTTTTTAACTGATCTGGTTATATGATGCATTAAATGAATGAGTGAGTCTGAACATTTTGTTTTACAGGATGATGATCAGGAAGCTGTTGTTATGCCCAATAAAAAAGGAGAGAAGTTTCTGTGTTTTCTACCCAAAGGGCATAATTCAAAAACCAGTAAACTAGTAAGTAATCAGAATACTAATAGCTTGATCTTGGAGACTGAGAAACACATTAAACTAAAGACACTTGGTGAGCTACTAGAAATGCATAAGGATATATGTCTTATCAAGGTTAGTATATCACTAATAGAGGTATCCAGGGACCTACATAATCTAAATTAGTTTATTTTAATTGTTAACATTTAGAATTTGTAGTTTATTTGTAGTAAAATGTTATTAGAATTGAAATTTTAGATTAGTGTGTTTTAGTTGATAGAATTGGTGTGTAGTATACATCTTAAATTGATAGAATGTTGAAATATATTATTTGGTAGTTATGCTGGGGTGTACAGGAAAATATTGGCAGTTTTAAAAAAAAATGTGTTTTTAAAATTTTTTTTTTTTATTATACGCGTCCAAAGTTCAGAAAACTTTGGACGCGTATAGTATTTTTTTAAAAATAAATAAATAGTATACGCGTTTAAAGTTCACGAACTTTGGATGCGAATAATCATTTTGCGCGTCCAAAGCTACTTTATACAATCAGCGTCCCCGACATCTGCGTCCCAGCTACTTTGGACGCGAATTAGCCTTAACTTTGGACGCGAATGACTGTTTTTGTACTAGTGCTCATGGATTCCTTCTTGAATTTGGCTCTGTGAAACCTTTATATTGAGTAGAAATGAGTAGAATCTATGAGATTTTGTTGTGTTTATGCTTAGAAGTGATCTAGAATTTGTTTGTGAGTTGTTGTGATTGTTTTGGACTTGTTTGGATTGAGTTTTGCAGATGAGAAAGCCTTTTGGTGCATACACAGTGTGCACCAGATCAGACTAACGGCCCTAGCCGCGGCCCATTAGGAGGGCCGCCCCAGGTCCCTGACATTGATTCTAAGAAGAATCTGTGCAGTGGCCGGGCCCTTGTGGCTTAGATACGTGTCGTTTCGAGCCGAGTGTTACGGGGCCTTGTGGCTCAGCTCTTCGGAACCGTCTCAACGCACGCTTTGGCTTTGATTTCATTGAATTTGGATTAAAAACGAGTATGTTATGAAGGTTTTATTGAAGATTTGCTACACAAAGTATATATTTGCTAGTTTATTGTGTATGAAGAATTATTTGACTATGTGATCTGATGATGTTTTTATTGAGCAAAGAAGCATGATCATTTGAGTATGATTTATTATGAAAGCATGACTAGATTGTGATATTTGATCAATGAGAAATGGAGCATATTTTGTTGATAGAATGTATAGAATTTGCTATGTTGCAAACCGAGCATGATGTTACATTCTTAAGTATTTCATGTTATTTTATACATGGTTTAGAAGCATGTTACAGAGCATTTTGACATTTCACATGTGTCATATTTCAAAAATGCATAAGGGGCCAACAATAGCCCAAGAATACCTTCAAAAACCATAAGCATGAGGTATATCATTCTTTGATGCATTGAGAAATAGTAGAGTTGTTGCATGCATGAGAGATACATTTATGTATTATCTATATCGGTGAGGTTTTGGAAGATTCCGTTTGGACTATGTCCTCTCAGGAGATATTTATGGACATTGCGGTCCCAGTATATGTAACGCGGCGTATTCCCACGTTACGAGGTTGGAAATTTTTATAATGAGTGATTGAGTATATATATATATATATATATATATATATATATATATATATATATATATATATATATATATATATATATATTATTGCACAAGATTGCATAAGAGTATGAGTATATTGTTGCACGAGATTGTATATGAGTATGTTTATAGTATTGCACGAGATTGCATATGAGTATGATGTATAAGTATTGCACGAGATTGCATATGAGTATGTTTATAGTATTGCAGGAGATTGCATAAGAGTATGAGTATATTGTTGTACGATATTGCATATGAGTATGTTTATAGTATTGCACGAGATTGCATATGAGTATGAGTATATTGTTGCACGAGATTGCATATGAGTATGTTTATAGTATTGCACGAGATTGCATATGAGTATGATGTATAAGTATTGCACGAGATTGCATATGAGTATGTTTATAGTATTGCACGAGATTGCATAAGAGTATGAGTATATTGTTGCACGAGATTGCATATAAGTATGTTTATAGTGTTGCACGAGATTGTATAAGAGTATGAATATATTGTTCCAAGAGATTGCATATGAGTATGTTTATAGTATTGCACGAGATTGCATATGAGTATGAGTATTGTAACACCCCTAAAATTTTAAACTTTTAAGCTTATGAAATAAAGGTAATATTATCATTAAATCCCAAAACAGAGCATACTAGTCATAAGTGTTTGGGGTGCTATGTCACATCTGAGCTAGAGAACTCAGATGCACAGGCTAAACTATCTAATTATCCTCAACAATGTCGTTACATCATTATGGCACGCAGGCCGAATATAAAACTAACTATCTAAGCCTCGGGTCTGCTAGCGCGCTCCGGAGCTAATCATCTGTGCCTAAAAGCCAAATATATCTGTTCAGCGAATAATGCTGGTAACCCACTCCAACGCGTTTAATATACAATATATATATATATATATATATATATATATATATATATATATATATATATATATATATATATATATATAGGAAAACCATTTTGAAGCCGGAAGATATACACTTAGGAGACTCTAGTTTTAAAATCGAGAATAGAATCAACAAGTAGGGACAAGCACATTCAACAGTTATAATCATGTATATAAAGATACTAGCATATATCCTAAGGTCACAAGGTCATTTATATCATTATTCAATCATTATCTCAACACATAAGCACACTTTGGTGGCGCCACAGGACCAATCGTATGCCCATACATGAGGGTCAGCGCATATAGCGCTAACACAGCCCCGCAGCATCCTGCCTCGTATCGCAACACGAAGGGGTTGATCGCAACCAACCGATGAACCGCTGCTCATCATAACGTTTGATCGCAACCAAACGGTGAACCGTAGCCCAAAAGTGTATTTCTGATCGCAACCAGATTATGAACCACAACTCATGTATAACGTTTGATCGCAACCAAACGGTGGACCGCAGCCCTATATAATATTTATATACCTGACCGATCGCAACCGGCCTGGTTAACAACTGATGGTTCTCAACCCATCCAACTGCCCGTATAGCCAATTTGATCGCAACCAAATTGGGGTATCATACACACATAACACATAGCAAGCACATGCAACCCACATTTGTGACACCCCAAAAATCCACATTTCAATCCATGGATTAATTGAGTAATTAATCCTATTTTATTTGAAGAGCTAATTCCTAAAATTCTGATTTTTAATATTCAAGGACTAGAATTTGACTAGTCAACCTTTAAGTTGTGTTGTACCTTGTGCTTTGAGGGGAGTTCCCTTGTTCCTTACACTTTCTAAGGGTTAGTAAGGGTATTCTTGTCTTTTCACCAAGATTTAGTATTGTAACCTAACCTAGAAGACTTCTTCATTTCATTCCCTACAATTCTTAGAAATTAGTTCTACCTTCTCTCTAGAAAAGAAGTGTAGCTTATTCTCCAAGCCAAGTTGAGACCCTTGTCAAGATTACAAGATTTGCTTCCAAGATTCAACCTTTCACCTATTTGGGCATCTAGGAGGGTAAGATCTAAGTTCATCTTGTGTTTTTGGTTCCATCTTAGTTGTTTTTTTCTTAAAGGTAGGATCTTTATGATCTTTTGGTTTAATCTTGAAGTGGGTTTGGAAAGTAATCCTTGTGGGGAGCTTCTTGTGGTGTAAAGTGAAGTCTTTTGGTCTTCAAGAGGTAACCCATGCTCTACAAAACCTATTTTGCTTACCTATATGTGATTTCTTGGATTCTATTTGTGTTTTGCTATGAAATGTGAGGGTTTATGCATTTGTCTTGTGATATTGCATATCTAGAGCTTGTGTTTAGGGTTCCTTTGTGCCATTGCTTGGCATTTTCCATGATTCAAGTCATTTTGTTGTGTTGGGTGAGATTTGACATGTTTTGGACTTGAATTTGTGTTTGGAGTAGAAAATCCCCGAAGGGATTTGTTGTGGAAAAGGAATGTTCCCGCGGGCGGAACGGCGGGCGGGGCACCACCCGCCGGCCTACCCGCGGGTACATAGCCCTGTGGGAATGTGTTCCCGCAGGCGAAACCACGGGTGGGGCACTACCCGTGGGTACACGAGTGGAGTTGGATCGGGATTTGTTCCCCGTGATTCGTTTGCCTCGGTATTTGGTCTTTTGACTTCCCGTTGTTCTTTTGTGGAACTATTTGAGTGTCTTCTTGATGTTTCGTATGTCTAGAACTATATGGTAGGTATCCATGTAGGACTTTGGTGTCTTAAATCGTGCTAAGTGTTCAACATTGTGTTTCGTTGGACCGAGAGGTGTCTTGTGTGTTCCTCGGAACTATCTTGAGTTTCTCCATTGTTAAGCATGCTAGCGTGTGTGTTGTTTGTACCTTCCGTTTGGTGGATGATAACTTGCGTTATTCATCGTTGTTGTCGTTGGGTTGTGACCCATTCCTTGATTGAGTATGGTTTCATACCTTCGTTGTAATCCGTTGATTGACTCGTGTGAGTGGTGGTGCGTGTGTGGCTTTACCTGGATTGCACGATTAGTGGTATGGGACGCTAATCACCAAGGTATTGCAGCGGTCCTCGTGGTGGCCGTGATGTGATTATGGAGATGTGTTCATTCGAGTAAGGTTCACGTGATTGGGGGATAACATGTGTTATCCGGGCATGTATTTCGCCGTGTACGGTACCTTGTGTACTATGAATTGGTGGTCTTGTTGGTGGTTTGTTGGTGGGGGACGACGGTTCCAGGAGGGAAAAGGTTAGACTAAGAAGTACAGGGGTCCTGGAGGTAATGGTTGGCATGAAGGTACAAGGTTGGGGTAGCCATAAGGTTGGAACAGGGCATAAGGAAGACATATCAACTCGTGATGGGTGATGTCACGAGGGCTTGTGTAGCCGGTGTTGTGAATTCTCTTTCTTGTAACGTGTGTAGTCACAAGGGCATGTGTTGCCATGGGTGAGTCTTATTCCTTTGTGTTGTGGTTAACCTTTGTGGTTTGGGATGTGTTCCCGTGTTATCCTTGTGAGTGATGAGTCTTGTGTTGACTGTTGATCTTGGCTTTTGACTTATATACTTCTGTATTCCGTTTCGAAAATGGTTTTATGGCTTATATCTATCTATGTATGATACTTAACGGTATTGGTGGGTTACCAACATTATTCGCTGACCGGGCGTCGTCCCAATGTTTATCTTTGTATCTTTCAGGTGATGTTTAGACAAGCGCGATGTCTAGAGCCTGGTAGCTTAGCACCTTTATGCTTGCTTTTGTGGCCTGTGCGCCAATGTAGTTAGACTGATGTTTTGGGATAGATGTATACACTTGCAGATTGTTTGCCGTAGCATTTACCGTGTTTGGTAGACGTGGCGTGACACCCCGTTGGATTTCTTTTATCCAATTTTGTTTTATCTTCCGCTGTGCTAGTTTTGTCGTTTAATCTGCATGTGTTAAGGCTTTTATATAGGTCTTGTTTGGGGGGGGGGGGGGGGGGGGGGTGTTACAACATTAGCACATTGGGAAGGGGGAGAAAACGTATAAATAAACTTATGCGTGGTCATCCACATACTAGGAATATTCCTAAGGGATTCATACATCTTTCACCTATGCCAACGGGATACCAATGCAATACACAAGATTCTTTCATCCTACGAATGGTAACCGAAACATCAAACTTGACTCTCTTTCTTTCTCTCGAGTCTTTATTGACTCTCTTTCTTGAGTCTCTGTTGACTCTCTTTCTTGAGTCTCTGTTGACTCTCTTTCTTTCTCTTATACTCGTAGATGGCTTAGGGTTTCA